GCAGTAGCAGCAACAACTACTAGTAGTACTAGTAGTACTAGTAGTAGTAGTAGTAGTAGTAGTAGTAGTACTACTACTAGTAGTAGTAGTAGTAGTAGTAGTAGTAGTAGTGGCAGCAGCAGCAGCAGCAACAGCAACATAAATGGTTAAATGGTTTTGGGTTTTAGGGTTTAGGGTTTAGGGTTTGCACCAGTAGGTGTAGGAGGTAGAAGAGGGCCCAGAGTGGACTTGGAGCACTGGCTTCTTGTTGGCGGTTGGAGGCTTGGGAATCAGGGGTCTTTATGCTTATGCTTCAGGCTTCGGGGATGAGTCGGGTAGGTTTTCGTATTCTGCTAAAAGCGGAATTATTCTTTGCCACCACCCTAAGCCCTAAACCCTAACCCTAAGACTAATACACCCCCGGAAGACCTCCAGTCGGCACAGCACCCCCGTCGCCATCGAGGTTGAAGGGGAACTGGTCCATGGCCTCGTCGGCGTCCTGCATCGGCTCCTGGTCTTCGCCTTCCAAGATCTCCGTCGCCGTGTTCCTCTTCGTCTTCCTGAGGCAGGAAAGGAAGGTGGGTGGAAGTGGGAAGTTCAGGGCTACACAAAAGACTTCGCACATAATCTATAACCATGGCACTTGTTCGAGCCTTTGACCCTCACAGCCACCCAGTACATGTAATCGTCGCAGTACTCAGACTTCCTCTCGAACAAGCTGCAGCAAAGAAGCTCGCACGATGAGCCTACATGCAATGTCTTGGAAGAACAACAGCTAGAATCTCCTCTTCCAGCCCGAGCGTTTCTCGCAGCTTTTTTTCGCCCCCTTGATTTTCTTCCTCGGCTAAGTTTAAGGACATAGAATAACAAGAGCAGTAGTGGTTTAGGATTTAGGGTTTGGAGTTTAGGGTTTTAGGGTTTTGAGGTTTTGGAGTTTTAGGGTATACGAGGGTTTTAGGGCTTTAGGGTGTTAGGGCTTTGGGGTTTTAGGGTATAGGGTTTCGAGCATGCAGTGCGTGTATAAGGTTTGGGGTTTAGGGTTCGAGGGTTTTAAGGTGTTAGGGTTTTGGGGATTTAGGGTACAGGGTTTAGAGCATGCAGTGCGTGTATAAGGTTTGGGGTTTAGGGTTCGAGGGTTTTAGGGTTTTAGGGTGTTGTTAGGGTTTGGGGGTTTTAGGGTACAGGGTTTAGAGCATGCAGTGCGTGTATAAGGTTTGGGGTTTAGGATTTTAGGGTTTTAAGGTTTTAGGGTATAGGGTTTAGAGCATGCAGTGCGTGCACAAGAGTTGACATCTAAGACACTCGCTCCAGCCTTTGTCTTCCATCTCTTGCTCTGTCAAGAACTCAAACTCCGTTTCCACGGATTTCTCGTTGATCTCTTCATNNCTTCCGGTTGATTCTCTTGGAGAACACGACCTGGCTGGGTAATTGTAGCCTAGCAGCAAAAGTATGTTTCGACGACACATCCTAAACGAGGCAGGCAAACGGGGTCGCAACCGCATTTCTCGAAGCTTCGGTAGACTTCATCTCGTGTCCGGATATTCTTGTAAGTGTCGATGACTTCTTGGGGTATCTTGAAGGTTCCATCCTCCCGTGGTGTGCACAAGCGTGCCAGCCTTTTCATCAAGGTGGCTTTGCTCACTTGTTCGGGAGGGGGCACATCTTCCTCTCCAGGGTCATACTCATCGTCCTTGTCCCCCGAGGCTGGCTTGGCTTTGCTGCTGGGAAGGAGCTTCTTGGGCTGGGCTGCTGTCTTCGCTGGGGGAGCCTGACTAGCTGCTGGGGCTGTAGACTGCGAGGGCCTTTCAGGGAGCTGCCTTGTTTGGGTTTGCGTGCTTGCAGGGGTCTGGCTCAGGTCGGTCCGGCTTTCTGCGGGGTTCTGGCTCGGGTCGGTCTGGCTTTCTGCGGGGTTCTGGCCCTGGCTTCCAAGGCTCTGGCTCGGGTCGGTCTGGCTTTTTGCGGGGTTCTGGCCCTGGCCTGCAAGGGTCTGGCTTGGGTCGGTCTGGCTTTCTGCCAGGTTGTGGCTTCCAAGGGCCTGGCTCGGGGTCTGGCTTTCTGCGGGGTTCTGGCTTCCAAGGGCCTGGCTCGGGTTGGTCTGGCGTTCTGCCGGGTTGTCGTTCTTGGTGTCCTGAAAGGACTCAACGAGTGTGTCGGGCACGGTTTGGTGGCCAGGTGAGGGCCGAGGGGTTTCAGGCGGCGGCAAGGAGAACTGAGGCTGGGAACCCGTTTGGGAGGAGTGCCACGAGGTGCCACGTGACGGAGCTTCCTATGTCAACAAACAATCAAAAGCAAAAGCCTCTTCAGTAATGTGCAAAAGCTCCTTCCGGCCGTCTGGCTGGATGCCCTGGATCTTCAGTGCATCCTCGGGTCGCACACAATGGGAGCCAATCAAAAGGAAAGGCCAACACTCGAATCTATTTCATCCAANNCCTCTTGGCCAAAAGCTTTTCCATTTCCGGGTCTCCCTCCATGTCCCCCCAAAGAGGATAGCCCGGAGTACGTTGAGCCCAAAACACTGGTCGAGATACGTCACAGCTGATGCTCATACTACCCATCCCGCCTAAAACCGCCCTTTGGACGGGTATGGACGCTACTTGGACGGGTATTCCCGCCTCCAGGCGGCAGCCCAAAATCCACTACCCAGCCCCGAAATTATGAGAAAACCCGACCAAACCCTCAGAAACTAGCGGTGGGGCCTGAAAAACCTCCTTTACATCCAGAAATAGGCCTCTTGGATCGCCCGATGTTCATATTTTGCTCGCTCGGCCTCTCTCTTTCTCTCTCCGTCCATCCCTCCCTCCCTTTGCCCTAACACTCTGAGTGCCTAACTGCTTGTCAACACAGTCATGCAGCTGTCAGCACCGTAGCATCTTCTTTTGTGGCACCACACACAAGCTTCGAACCTCAATCCATTTCCTCCAGGAACTTGCGTGCAGCAGCTTCTGCCCTGTGCAAACATGTAGGTTTGTGCCGTCCAGGCATGTCTTTGCAGTCTGAGCAGCAATGGATATGTGGAGGGAACACCTTTCGACTGCAGCTAATGCAATCTCGAATCGGCTCCAGGGAAACGATGTGAGCATTGATCCTGGAACATTTCTTGCTATGTCGTTTGCCCTTTCGACAGCCACCACAGCAGTAACGATTCAGCCCATCCACCAACCGTGCACAGCCTTCTTGCGAGCAGACTACTCGATCGAGGTTCCCATTGGATCCGAGTGCTAAGGCTGCCATACTAAGTGTTGCATAAGACTGCATCTAGAATGGAATACCGAGCTAGCTCTTTGACAAACAGACACTGATCTTTGGACCTGGCAGGCAAAGCGTGGCGGCTGCGGAGCCCGACTTGCAGCTACAGAGAACCAAAGGATTTAGGGTTTAGGGGTTCCGGGTGCTCAGATAGAGAGAGAGAGAGAGAGAGAGAGTCAGGGTGTTCGATAGAGAGAAATAGAGCGAACTCGTAGGACTGTATCGGGCTTAGCGGATTTCCGGGCTTAGGGGTTTCGGGTTTGGGTTTAGGGTTACTGGACTTCCACGTTGCCACTTTCAGGGATTAAAGGTTTGGCGTCTTTGGCTTTACGTAGGACTGTATCGGACTGTATCGGGGCTTAGCGGATTTCCGGGCTTAGGGGTTTCGGGTTTGGGTTTAGGATTATTGGACTTCCAAGTTGCCACTTTCAGGGATTAAAGGTTTGGCGTCTTTGGCTTTAGGTTTTCGGTTGAGGTTGTCCGAAATATCGACACCTAAAATCCTTTCTTTAGTGTGTGTACACCTTGAATCCTTTATGCTGCAGAGACTTGAGATTAAGGAGCCCAGGATCCGGGATCGGCCATAAAGCTTAAACTTATAGCCCATAACATCCTATAAACTTATTTTATATACAATATATTATATAATATATAATATATATTATAATTATATATGTTATATATATATATTTTTCCTTTGAGGCTTCACTCGTAACCTTCAGGAGATAGGAACGAGAACTTGAATCTCGAGACCTGAATCCCTCTTTATTCTATAGCACCACCGTAGGACTGTCGGGCCGGGGCTTTGGACAACCAACACCAGGAACACACCCCTAA